AGCTCTTTATTATCAATTTTCCACGTGATGTGTTTGAGATCAACAAGATTAAAAGATATTTCATATATTCTACCTATCTTTAATTTAAGACCATAAGATTCGAAATTCTTTTTTACTCTTTAAAATTGTGTCAAATTAAAATCAAACAAAAAAATTGAAATAGAGGGCAACTAATCTTAACCATCGACTATCCCTACTGCTCCCTCGCCGGTCAATGGCAAACTTCTTTGCCTCTTCTCCAACAATCGCTACTGGTACTACTACTAAATTTTAAACTTCCGTTTCCAAAATTTATCTTTAATGTTGAAAATTCTCAATTTTGACAGTCATCTGCATTCACTCTTAAAGAAATAATTGGGTATTGAATTATAAAGAAAATTTCTTAACTTAAGATATCATGTATAACAATAGATATATTTCACAATTTATGTATCTATCCTATAATTATTTTCTTTTGTAAAAACTTATGCAATAACCACCACCATTCTTTTTGTCGTTTTACTCCTTAAATCCCTAAGGGAACTGGACGGTTTACTTACACAAAGCCAAAGAATAGAGACTTTGTACAATTGTGGAATCTGCTCGACTCTTTTAATGTGGTTGATACTTCGCTTATAACTAAACAGAACCGACAGAAGGTGCAACAATCGAGAGTTAAAAGAACAAATAGGAAATGTCATTTATTTATTAAATTCTTGCTCTTAACATCCTTCCCCTAGACCACTTTCTTAGGTTTTCTTGAACTATTAGTCTATGTGTAAGGCTAAACAGGTTCGTTAGATTTTATTTATGTGCATTTATCACACACTTTGTGCAATTTTGCCTTAAAATAACATAATGTTGAATTGTTGTTTGGATGCTCAGTATACAAACATATGGTTCTGCAGGTACAGTTTATGGAACTTATTTTTGGAATTTATTTTTTGAAATTTTAGTATTACCATCATATTTTACAAGTCCTCAATTGGATGTGTTATTATGATTTTTCCTTCTTTTTTGAGAAAAAAAATTGACTTACTCAATTAGAGAGAGGAGCTACATTAGACTTGACAAATGCCTAAGTATCTAATATATCTATTTCGTAACATATTTATTGCATAGTGCTGATCTTATTGTGAGAATAAGGAATAATTCTTAAGAATTGTGTATCGTTTTTGTTTTTGATGTGATATCATAAATGTATGGTTCTAAGGAATACAACTATTATGCTTCAAAACAACTAATGTGTAATATTATAGTGTCATAGTAGAAGGCTAATGAGCTGGAGGTATTGTTAAAGAGTATTTTGAAAGTATGGCATGTATATCGTGAGAATATAACTATCCGTAGAGGTTTTGTGGCCTCACAACTGAGATCTAGCAATGCATTTTACGCATACGTAGATCATTGGTGTTGGAGGCATGTTAGGTTGTGTAGAGCAAAATCTACTCCCTTTTTTTTTCATTGCAGGAAATTGAGACATTGGCTTTGAAGAGCTAAGCTCTCTCTTTTGTTAGGTCTTCTCTTCAATGTTGTAGAATATATATATATGTATTTGAATACATTAGCCAATTCTATTGTTTCTTGCTCCATTTTGAAATAAATAGTGTCAACTATAGAAGTCGGCATAAGAGTGTTATATTTTTATTTCATAATTACCATACCACTATAGTCTACGAAGTCTTTAAGTTTCTTTGCTTGAATGTTGGTCTATATGGAAAACGCACCAAAATGATAGACATTTTTACTTTTGTAAGAATATTAATGTCTCACCCTAGAAACATCACGTCTCCAAGATAATTTTTGTCTCTTTGATTTGAACCTCCATTCATTTTCATTAAGTAGCAAAATTCTAACCAAATTTTCCATTCTTATATTGTTTAACAGTGGTAAATAGTATGAACCATGGGGATGGTAATCTCTTTGATGTTTTGAATGGATTTTGCATTGTGTCTTACCAACTTCCTGTACAATCTGTTCCTGCTTAATTTACTCTCGAAAGAAAAATGTTGTACAAGTTGTTGCAGTTCCGATATCACTTTCACCCTTAGAAAAACGAATAGTAGAAATTAGATTGTTGTATTTTATACTCATTTTTACATCTATATATAAAAACTATAACTTTCACATTTTTCTCTATTCCAGGTTGCACGAAGACATTTGATTCAGTCCCTACTCTGAGGAAGGCAGTTATATTAGGCTACAGCCCTATTAGACCTTGGATGTCTGTAGTTTACAGGTATGCCATTACAACTAATCGTTTTGCTCCGAAAATAACCATATTTTATAATTTCTATGGCTTTTTTAAACAACTTCTTGATTTGTATGTCTATTTTGAATTCTGATTTAGGTGGCTCTATGATTTCAATTCTCGTGAGTACTTTTACGATGGTTCATCATATGGCACCCAACATACCCTTCAAAACTTCTGAGGATATCTTCAATGAAATTAGACTACATTTTCAATTATCCTTTTCTTTGACATTTTGATGACAAACACCATATAGTTTAACCGTCTGATTATGAAATGAAAGTATTCCATCGAGGTGCACTTCTGGTCATGGTCATGTATTATGTTAAAGTCCTTTAACCTAGAAGATGAAAATAGATGAATGTTTTCCTTTATCTCGATTAATGCCTCAACTTTCTGGACAACACCATCAATATAAACCTAAAAAGATATCACCTTTGGTTCTCTCTTGATTTAGCAAAGATAGTTCATCTGTTAAGTTTGTTTTGGTAAATAACAATAAACCTTGCCCAAATATTCATCTTGCTTATAGCTCACTCAATTGTTGCATCAAGAATTTTGATTGTATTTGTATCATATTTAAGTGCTTTACATGTTCACTATATAAACCAAGTTCGAGCTCTCTTTCTCCTATATAAAATGAACGCAATGAATTATATTGTTGCAATGTGTTTTGTTGTGTATTTTATACTAAGCTCCATCCAACTGCTATGAAGTCTTCCCAAGTAAGCAGAGTTATTGTCATTCCCTTATCTTGCTTTCTTATATATAGTAACATACAACATGAGGCCTTTTCTGATTTTCACGTTTTAGTGTTGTTCATCTTCATTTCGCCCTTAAAAGCAAGGTATGAAGGTTGAAATGAATTTCAAAATGATAAAGTCTGCAGTTCCCTACATAGTGGGGGATGGGACACAGGAAAAGGAAATGTATATGAGGCAGAAACTTTTGTCATAATTGATGATGTTAGACTTTTGTAATTTTAAAATCAGATGCACATCTGAATAAACTATGGTCTTGATGTTATGGGGATGCCAAATGATGTCATTAATGTAACTTATTTTTAAGTTCTACTTTTTGAGAATGCTGGTGAGACATTCCAAGCAAAAGTCATGTATCTGCAAGAAATTGATACTGAAACTTAGAGGTTGAGCATTGTGAAGTGGATAAATTTCATGTAATGAGGAATTCTGAGAAATCATTTTCTTCTGTAATCAAAATTTTAACCTGATAATGTTGGTAGCATATATTTGTACTACACTTTATTGTGCTCTCTTTGTGGTTGATCTGAATCATACTACATCCGGTAGAAAATGGTTAAAACATATTCCTTTTATGTTATTGTTATTGTTCTCTTGCAATTGAACAAAAAGTTAGGTCTTCTCTTATCTCTAGATTTAAAAGTTAAAGTAGATGTTCCATTAAAAAAATGTTCCTTTATAACACGCATCGAAAGATCAACAACAAGTGGTAACACTGAGTCTGCATACAAGTCATTCTTCACATTAGATCAATTGCCAAATTATAAAATGTAACCTCACAAGGTACTAAAAAGAGATAACAAAACCTTATAAAGAAGCGTATAAGAGCATTAGTATACAAGCTTTATTGTTCTTTTTTTTAGAATGAAAAGAAAACAGAGATTGAAAGAGCAAAAGAGGGGACCAAAGTCAGCAATAGCAGTTTTGAGTCTCACTATTAAATGTACTTTTACTGAACAAACAAAAACAATGCAACCATATAAAACTCTTCATTAATATATTACCCGTGTCAACACCGCTTTATTTTTTAAAAATCATATAACTAATTTGATTTACATTCCAAAATTCATAGGTGTCACATAATTTAGACATTAATTCTTCATTACTCAATATATGTAATTATATCAATGACATATAAATTGAAATAAAAAATTTACATATTATATTTGAAAATCACGTAATAGTACTATAAGGTATAATAGTTAACAACTTAACATATTTTAAAATTTTAGTTGACTCATGATTTGCTTGGCTTTGTATGAATGCATAGTAATACATACAATAACCATTCACAATATATTTTTACCAAGCTTGACAATGTTTCCTACCAACATTATTTAAAATGAATGATAGTGTATCTCAGTAGTTTCCTCAATAAATGAGGAAGCTATGCTTTATAAATTATGATTATTCAGAAATATTTATTGCTATTTCAGATATCAGTCATATTTTTAAGATAGATTTAAACAAATAGAATTATATCATAATTTAAAATGTTGGGCCCGTGCTTAGCACGGGCAAGAACCATCTAGTATATATATATATATATCACGAGCTACAAAAGACCTTCATCTGTTTATTTTCTCTATTTAATAACATGTCTTATCAATCCTTTCTACTTAATTCTTATACTATAACATTCTACTATTATATAAGAGGGACATCATAAACTCCCTATATAATATATAATATAATAAATCATTTTTTCTACTATA